TATATATATATATATATATATATATATATATTTCCAAGAGGACAGAATCCAGGTGGAACTCAATGTCCAAGACAGAGTAAGAATATAATATAAAAGGCTCAAACACTAATATTCCATTGTCAGGTTTTAAAAGTTCAGTGTTTTGCGAGATTGATGATGCAAGAAATATTTAAGCCGCCAAGTGGGATGAAAATTATGTAAAGAAACTTTGAACGTTCAATTTTATACGGGTAAGTATTTACTTCAAGATTGCAAAGACACTTTAAAAAGTTAGATTATTAGCTTTTATAGGAGACGAAGAGAAAAACAAATTTATCAAAGAGGCCAAAAATTACTGAAGAGTCTCATAAGTGTGGGTATTTATTTAACTTTGTTTCCGAATAAAATATCTCTATTTCCCTTGGTGGACAAGATACACCGCTTAGAATTAACATTCCGGTTCGTGGGCTACAACTATGCTCGCACATAAATGTTGATATTTGCTGAAACCAGCCAACCTGAGCAAAATATCTGATAAATGGTTAAGTTGGTATTCTTTGACCGAACAGTTAGTGTTACTGCCGGTTGAATTAATTCTTAACAACAGAAAAGAAAAAAAGCTTTTCATTTAATTAGACATCTCAAATCCAGTAAATGTTATAGATCTTTCTAGTATTAATTGGGGTTTTCTTCCATACATTTTGCTTTTGTTAGCGTGGAAAGTACACGATTTGGTTACATTATTATTTTCCCTTCTAGTTTCATGTGTTATCAATTTATGTTGTGGCTGCTGTTAAAAGGGTTCAAGTGATGTGGTTTTTGTTATTTGGTAAAGATCTTTGTTTTATATATTTATTATGCAAATCATTGTTTTCACAATAAAATTGTTATTAACAGTCATTGATAAAATGCGGAAAGCAACACAAAGTCTGGTCAATGCATAGTTGGGTGAACGTTTGGGAATACAAGGCGCTGTAAACTTGGATGTTCGGTAGTGTTATGGATACCGGCTCGAAATTGGAAATAGGAGAGCCGAACTCCAAATCCAGTTTGGTTTCTTATATTTACTTATTTAGGAAAGGTATTGAGGAATCTGTAGAGCCGAGTTCGAATCCCAGTCGAATCTATTACATTCACTTACGTGCTAATACCCTTGGGAAACGTATAAATCCTCTTCTTCTCCCCCAGCTATGAGTAAATTGCAGGACACACCCGGTTCTATAGCCTTGGATAGCAACTGGTCTACTGCAGAAAGAAATGACAGCCTACTGCGGGAAAAATATCTGCCTCGTCAGTCATGTATCGAAAGATACATTATCGCCTAAGCGCGTATCACGCATGACACATAACTGACTGACTGAAACCATATTCTTCTAGGCCCCAGCTATGGTGCTAATTATTAAGACTTGTATCAGTAAATCATAATTATCTCCAAAAAATATTCTTACAATCTAAAAATATTTTCCGACTTTAAATAACCTGCAAAAGGTTGATAAGCCGTAAAAAAAAACAAAAACAAATCAATCAATCAATAAAATTCAAAGATTAAATAAAGCGAGTGAGAAAGAATTAAAATATATGAATATATTGGGAACTCAGAAAATTTCATGTTCTTTAAAACAAATTTAAGGAATTAATGTCCATTTTGGGAACAGTGGCCATTAATGGGTTATGGGTAAAAGCCGATAATTAGCCTTCTCTTGACCATTGACCAACTGGAACGTATTTTAAGACATGTTTATTTTTAATACCAGACGAGCATCATTTTTGGTTGTCTTATTTTTATTCATAATATACACGGAAAATATTAAAATACTATATGTGCTTACACATTGTGCTAAAATGCAATTCTCGACTTATCAATCTATATTGATTTCATCAAATTTTGCAGCCATGTCCGAACAATAAAAGGTTATTGCTGCATTTTTTATAAACCTAAAATGAATACTTCATTTTTTTAAGAGTATAATTAACACGGGATTTTTATAAAATTTGCAGATATCTATTTATCTATTTATCTATTTATTTATCGACCAGCTCTAGCTCTTTTGAACGGGGCTTTGTTTCCTTTTTTAGGATTGGATTTCCGTTTCCTTTTAATGTTTACTTCACCTCAATACATCTAACGTCTCCACCTAGAACTCTGAACTTTTATTTACTTTTTTTCCTCAATAGGAGTAGATTGGTTTACCTATCATCCGTTTCTCATCCTTCCCGATATTTTGAACAGGAGTAGAGGTTTATACCCTGTTTCCTGTTTAAAATCGAGTTTCCGGTTCCTTTTAACGTCTTTTCCTTCCGGTGAACACTTGCGTCATGATAGCATTACCGTTACTACGCTCTTTTCTAATCACATTTTTTTATTATTCAGATTCCACCATAATATGGTTTTAGCAACCGAAGAACGCGTATTTCTCGCCGAATACATATTTCGTGAAGATGAAAGATACACAGATTTGGTGCGACAACGTTTTGCTGGTAAATTTCCACATCGCAATGCAGTTCGTAACCTTGTTGATAAATTTCGGGAAACAGGATTAGTGGACGATGTCAAACGTTGAGGAAGGTCAGCAAAGGTATCTGAGGAGAATGTGTTGGTTATTTCAGACAGTATGCTGCTGATCTAAATCCATCAGGCATTTATCTACGGGGAGCAGCAAAGTATCAGTGTATCTAGATGGTCCGCGCACACTGAATGACATGCAAGCAGCGGTAAGAGCGTACATTTAGTTTATTTCAAGCGAGCAACTGATCGCTGTGTTCAGAAACAAAATGAGAAGAATCCAAGCCTGTATTGACGCTAACGGGCGCCACTTTCAACATTTTCGTTCACATTCTCCTCCTTTATTCTATATTGAAACATGTCTGTTCATAAAAATATAAGTCCTTGTGAGCACCATATAGAACACAATTTCTGTGCTTCTATCATCTAATTTTCATTTTTAAAAATTACAACAAAAAAAATAGACTCCAGTATGATATTTTGACCGACACTTATAAAACTTATTCTGGTACATTCACAAAAAAAAAAAAAAAGCCCCCCCCCAAAAAAATAAAATGGCCCGAGCGTTGTTTGTTTTAAAATCATTACTAGTTTTTCTTCATGCCACACTTCGAGAGGCAATTATTCATGGACGTCGAATAAATCATTTCGGTTGTAAAAGATTCCATGACAAATCGTGTTTACGGCCAAATCAGTTTTAAACACCTGTCCACCTGCGATAATCTAGTTACTGACCAGGCTCGATGTTGTTTAACTTCCGTTTACATACAAGTACAGCCCACACCTTACGAAGGACTTCATCTATGTAAAATGCGTGGGATCTTTTTTTTCTCGTTGTCTATTCTTAAAAAATGCTGTGGAACATGTCATGATGCCATTTCTGACCTTAGATCTCTATTTGGGACCCGGAAAGAAATGAGTATACACCAGAGATCAAAGGAAATAAGATAATAATAATAATAATAATAATAATAATAATAATAATAATAATAATAATAATAATCAGGTTGTACGGTGTTGGCACCCACTGAATATAAAACCCGACATGACAGAGTGGGCCAATATCTGCACTGGAAAATCTGCAACTTCTACGGGAAGAAAACTGAAAGAAACTGGTATGAACACCACCCAGACCCGGTTACGGAGATAGGACCTGTTACAATTCTATGGGATTACACAATACACACTGACAGAACAATCAAGGCCAACCTGTCAGATATTGTTATTAAAGACCAGAAACAAAAACTGTGCCTCCTTATTGATATGGCAGTCCCTGCTGACTGCAATGTATCTTTGAAGATATTCACAAAGTTGTCAAAGTGCAAGGACCTTGAAATAGAAATCTCGAAAATGTGGCATATGGGAACATCAACAATCCCTGTTGTAGTTGGAGCCCTAGGACTGGTTGGAAAAGATTGCAGTAGACTAATTGAAGGGATTCCTGGAAGTCCATGCCTCAAGGAGATACAAAAAATTGTTCTGACAAGTACAGCCCACACCTTACGAAGGGCTTTATCTATGTAATTTAATTTTTTTTTTTTTTGTCAGTGGTAAGTGTCATGACGCCATTTCTAACCTTAGGTCCCTGGGCGGGACCCGGAAAGAAATGTGTAAACGCCAGAAATCAAAGAAAATAATAATAATAATAATAATAATAATAATAATAATAATAATCTGAAAGTCATAAAAAATGAAGACGTCACACAAAATCGAAGTGGAAAATGAGAAAATGATAAAAAAAATATTTGTGCGCCTGTTAATCATGTTTTCGATTGGTTGAGGCACGGTGGAGTAGTGGATAGCAGCTCGAATTGAGGAAGCGGAAAGCCGAGTTCGAATTCCAGTCGAATCCATTACATTCACTTACGTGCTAATACCCTTGGGAAATGTATGAATCCTCTTCTTCTCCCACCAGCTATGGGTAAATAGCAGGACAGACGGGGTTCTATAACCTTGGATGGCAAGAAAGAAATGGCAACCTACTGTTTACCTACGGGAAAAATCTTTCTCGTCAGTCATGTATCGAAAGATACATGATCGCCTAAGCGTGTACCAAGCATAGCACATAACTGACTTTTGTTTGATCGCTGCCGTAGACCGAAAGCTCGAATACGTTCCGATAAAATAAAAAGTAAAAAAAAATCAGATGAAATAATTTTTTTTCTTTTTATGTGCCGTGTCCTTTCAGGACGTAGGCGATCATGGCTCTCCACTTCCTCCTATCCCTCGTAGCTCATCCCTCTACCACCTCCCCCCCGAAGTCTAAATTAATAATATTTTTGTTGTCATCGTAACTATCTACATCGTGTTTAACAATTAAAGGAGTCTTTTGGGAATGATGGGCAACGTGTAGATTGAATGTGAAGAAATGCGATTAGAATTGAAAAGGATCATGTGTGAGAAGACAGTAAGTGGTCAGACGAAGACTAGCGAAATCCGGCCAGAAATTCCAACTTGCTTGTTCGTTAAATGGAGCGTTACATTGGTCGGGATTTTACAGAAAGTAGAGGAAGATGAGTCAGGAAAAGAAACAGCGGGAAGAAGGAAAAAGAGAATGGAGAGAAAAAGAGAAACATAGAAAGAAATAGAGAATAAAAAGGCGAAAGCGAATTAAGGTGATGATATCTGTCAAAGATAATAAATATATGGCGCGAAAATGAAGGTAAGAAGGAATATAGAAAGAAGAAGACAATAAAAGGAAAAAGAAGACGACGAAGAAAGTGTGAAAAACTGAAAGTAATAGAGAATCAGAAGAAGAATCTGTGGAAGGCAAGAAGAAGAAGAAGAAGAAGAAGAAGAAGAAGAAGAAGAAGAAGAAGAAGAAGAAGAAGAAGAAGAACAACAACAACAACAGCAACAATAACAAAGTGTCAAAAACTGAAAGTAATAGAAAATAAGAAGAAGAATCTGTGGAAGCCAAGACAAAGAAGGAGGAGGAGGATGTAAAATAGGAGAATAATAATAATAATAATAATAAGCAGAAGAAGAAGAAGGGGGAGGAGGAGGAAAAGAAGGATAAGAAAAAAAGAAGAAAGTGTAAAAAACTGAAAGTAATAAAGAATCTGTGGAAGCCAAGAAGAAGGAGAAGGATGGGGAGAATAATAATAATAATAATAATAATAATAATAATAAGAAGAAGAAGAAGAAGAAGAAGAAGAAGACTAGTTACCAGAGAAAGATTAGGGATTATTATGAAAAAAAAAAAAAAACAATATAAAAAAACACGTTCATTATTGTTACTTTTATTACTAGTTTTTTTTTTCTATCTAATTATACATTATACAATGAAAACATCCGATCCAAATTCAGTTAATAATTACATGTCAGGCTGCAGACAGTGGTTAGGCTAGCGACTTCTGCCTCATCGAACCATCTACAGGGATTTCATTATTCTACAAAATCAATATATATATATATATATATATATATATATATATATATATATATATATATATATATATATTCAACAAAACATGTTCGAAAGAAAGGTTGCTTCCCATGTATATATATATATATATATATATATATATATATATATATATATATATATATATATACAGTGAAAGGATAATATCTAAAATTACATAGGATTTGAATAAAAGTATTGTTTTTATCCTTTCAAACTTTCCATATTTCTTACTTTTCTTATTTCTATTCTTAAAATGTCTGTCTTTCCCCGCCTCGCAAAAAAGTGGCGAATCCATGTATGTTCGACTACTGCTTGACATTTTGACCTGAAAGTCCCAAAAAGAAGAAACAAAAATTGAAAAGAACTTAAAAAACAAATAAACGAAAAGACGAAGTGTCAAATGAAAGTATTTCATTTCCTCCCGAGGATGTCAGCGCATTTTTTTCAAAAAATTTCGCCGACTCCCAAAAGAATAGCGATCAATGCTGAAAGACGTAAAAAAAAGAGTTAGAATGGGACTTATTTTTTTTTTTTTTTTGCTCAACGAGCTAGACCATGACCTTTACTTCAAAATTCGGAATTCTTTTTCTTTATTAGCCAAAGCGTTGAAACACCAGTTAAGCAACGTCAACATTGTATATAGATGGGTGACCGCTTGGTTTGCTATTTACTGATTTGTTTAATGCCAGGAAATATTTTTAGATTGTGATTTTTTTTTTTTTTTTTTTTTTTAGATAATAATGGTTTAGTGATACAAGTCTTACTAATTAATCCATAACTCCGAGGAAAGTGATGGATTCAGGCCTTTCCCAAGGGTAAATATAATATATAATATTATACGATATAACGAACCGCACAGGAATTGGAACTCGGCTCTACGATTTCCAATTACGAGCTATTATTCACTACACCTCCCGCACATCCATGCGATTGTTTTAATAGCGTGAGAAGTGTACGCAAGAAGTGCATTTTTATGAGGATAGGTAGAATACGTAATGGTTAGCTCAAACTTGAAAAGATTTCGAGATTGGTGATCAGGTAAGTATCATCTCAGGAGTTTGTTCCACTAAGTAACAGTTCTGGAAAAGAAACTGTCTTAGTAGAACTCCCTTCTTACCAGTGTACTACGATGGTCATGAAGATGATTTGACCCTGTGCACGGGGAGTGGCGGACAGAAGTTCTGGATTGCTGGAACTAAAGAATGTAGGACGTCAAATATATTTTCCAGAAAATAAAGATAAAGTAACGAGAGGCGAGAAACGTTTCGGCTGCGGGAAAGAGGTTGTAGGGTGAAAAATAATTCATCAACCACAAGATCGTGTAAACGCTTTTGTACTTCATCAAGACTTAATTTAGAAAACTGTTGTAAAACAATTATCTTAATCTTATCTTTATTTTTAATGCCGTGTATTTCAAGACGTAGACGTTCATGGTTCTCCGCACATTCCGATTTTTGTTATCTGTTAATTAACATAACTTCTTGGAAAATATAGGGGATGATTTCCCATTGCCTTTTCTACGGTTTGAAATTCAGACTTGTTTTTCTCTTTTGAATGGGTGTCACCAAAGCTATATATATATATATATCTGTGTGTGTGTGTGTGTGTGTGTGTGTGTGTGGATGACGAATCAAAGTGGAAAATTTTATTAAAGACGCGTTTCACCGGAGAAGTGATGCTCTCTTTAGTTTATTCATTTTAGACTGAGAAAACCAAAGAGAGCATACGCTTCTCCGGGGAAACGCGCCTTTAATTAAATTTTACACATTGTCTTGTCATCTTTAAACTTTTTTGGGTATTATTTTACATCCTAAAACACACACACAAACGCGCACACACATATATATATACACACACACATATATTCAAGAATTTCTGGTTGAATAATCTAAATATGTTATATCTATTTATTTTTATTTTAATCCTTTCGAATTTTCTGATCTACTTCTTAATGTTGATATTAAATTTATTAAGAAAGGCGCCGTAGATTTTTCTCTTTTCTTTTCATTTTTATTTTCCCAGGTACAATCTCATCCGGTATCATCTTCAGGGAGAATTGCCAAGACAAAAGATCAATGTATCTGATAGTTGTGATTTTTTTGTAAATACGCATGAACGCGCTCACATGTAATTAATTTAAAATTAACTGTTAAAGCTCGGACGTTTTTTTCATGTTTTGATCTAAACAATTTTCATTTCTTTCCTTTCCTTTCGTTATTTGTGCCATTCTTTTTCCTTTTTTATTTTCCTTCTTTCTTTTTGTATTTTCTTTCCTTCTTTTTTTGTTTTCATTTAATTTCTTTCTTTCTCACTTCCTTTCTTTCTTTTCATTTAATTTCTTTTTTCTCTTCTCTTTCTATCTTCTTTTCTTTTTATCACGGCATTCTTTCATTTTAAATTTTTCATTTTATTTATTTCTACTTATTTCTTTCTTTTCATTTCTACTTTTAATTTTGTCATTTTTCTTTTATCCTGTTTTACTTTTTATCTTTCATTTTATTTATTTTCCTTTCTTACATCTTAATTTTATTTTTCTTACTTTTTTTCATCTCTTTGCTTACCTTTTATTTTTCTTATTTTTCTCTTTTTTAGTTCTTTTTAATTTAAATTCATTATTTTTTCAACTTTTTCTTTCATTACTTTTTACTTTCTCTTTTATATTTTTTATTTATTTTTCTTTTCATTTCTTCCTTTTCTTTTCAATTGTTTTTTATTCATTTCATTCATTTCCCGTCTTTTAATTTTTCATTTGTTTTCTTGCGTTTCGTGATTTATTTTCATTTATCTTTTCATTTATCTTATATTTTTTAATTCTTTTTCATTTTTCACGTCTTTTTTTCCTCTCCTTTCCTTTCTTTGTTCCTTTCTTTCTTTTCTTTTTCTTTTCTTACCCCCTTTCTCTTCATTTAAAACGTCTTTTTTTCTTTCATTTTTTTCCCTTTATTTATCTCTTCTTTCACCTAACACATATACGAGTGGGAAGTGTATGTATCAACAAAAGTCATTTTTATTATTTAATTTTCTCTATAACAAATAATCTGATATAATCACGTACAGAATTCTCCGAACACATAAAAAAATGTGAACATATTTACGATATCAATGCTTGCTGCTGGCTAATAGAAATATTTCTTAATAAAGACTGTCATAAATTAAAGCGTGCCTCCTTATTGAAACAAAAAGAGACTCTGTTTAAAGATTTGAACCGAGAGTAAATTTAATCTCCTAACGGACATCGCTTCAAGAATCAAGTACCAAGTGTCATTCATATTATCTAAAATGAATGCAATATTTCTTCAATTGTTGCTTATGATCCGCACAACTCTAAGGGAAGCGATTATAATTAAAGAAATATTGGTTGAAAAATGGCCACTTTGATCTGGACTGGGGAAGGCTGAACAGATCAAGTTTTCGTGCGATTTTGTGTATGTGTGTGTGATTTTGGGAATGTGATATTTTTGTATGTGTTTGTGATTGTCATATGTGTGTTGTGTGTGTGTGTGTGTGTGTGTGTGTGTGTGTGTGTGTGTGTGTGTGTGTGTGTGTGAAAGAGAGTAAGAGAGTGAGTACGCACGTCAGAAGCGAAAAGAATATAAGAATGCTTGAAAAAATGAATATGAGAAATACACGATGTTAGAAAGTGGACAAACAATGGGTGTAAAGATCAAACGAAAGAAGGAGAATAGAACAGAGAAGAACGGAAAATAAAATATAAAGGAAGAAAAAAATGGAAAAAACTAAAATATGAACAAAGAATAAAAAGAAAAAACAGTGGAAATCGAAAAACACAAGAAATAAAAAAAGAAAGAAATGAAAAGAAAGAAAAGAAAAAGAAAAAAAAGAACTAGAAAAAAACGGATAGGAAATAAAGAATTGCAATAAAAGGCGTGTGAGGCGAAGAAGAAAAGAATAAGAAAGAAGAGTAAAAAATAACAATAAAAGGAAAAGAAGCAAAATAAAGGGTAAAACAACAACGAGCAAGAAGAAGAAGAAGAAAAGAAGAAGAACAACAAAACAACAACAACAACATCAACAACAAAAAACGGATAAGGAATTATCAGTAATGAACTAGCAAGAGGAGTAAATGTAAGAACTAGAAAAGAAGAGTCGAAAAGAAAATAAATATCAGGAATGAAAATGAAGTCCTATCAACTAAAAAAAAAATAAAGCAAAGAAGGCTCAAAGAATAAGACGCTACGAGAAAAAGATCAAGATTCTATAGAAGAACAAGATCTTTCAAACCGATGCAAAAAATTTTACAGGGAAATAGGTAAACAAAGAATTGAACAGTCCCCCAAAATGGAAGAAGTTATACAGTTCTGGGGAAAAATATGAGCCCTAAAGAACAAACGAAGAGGCAGATTGGATTGAAGAAGAACGAATGAAAAATAAACCAGAACAGACATGGGCGGAATCACAGAAGAAGATAAATGTGCACTGAAAAAAAGCACACAACTGTCCAGGAATAGATAAAATTCTAACTTCTGGCTATATTATTTAAATACAGCACAAAAAAAACTGCCAAAAGAACTTCAAGAAATGGTTACCGATCCAACTAAAATTCCTGCATGGATGACCAAAGGAGTTACCTTTCTTCTACCCAAAAATAGTGACACAAATATTCCGAAAACTATAGACCAATTACATGTCTTCCAACAACATACAAACTGTTAACATCTATTTTAACAAAACAGACATATTTCTTCTTGAAAGAAATGACATACTACCACTTGAACAAAAAGGGTGCAAACGAGGCTAGATTGCATGTAAAGACCAATTACTTATTAATAAGATGATCCTGGAAAACTGCTTCCGTGAAAAAAAAAAATCTTAGTATTGCCTGGATAGATTATCGTAAAGCATTCGATAACCACATTCCTGGATCTTTTATGTACAAGGTATCACCGTTATCATCAATTTCATCAAACAATGTATGTCGATATGTCTTTTACGGTCAAAAAATGGAACCTATAAGTCTGGCGAAATAAACATCAATAGAGGAATATTTCAAGTCTTTGTCTCCTTTATTATTTTGCATATCACTTATGCATTAACCAGCCAACTTAACAAGACAGAATGCGGTTACAAAATAGCTCAAAAGAAAATAAGCCATCTATTTTACTCATGGATGACTTAAAATTGTATGCTAGGGATGACAATGAGCTGGAAGGTTTCTGCAAACTGTAAAATGCTTCAGTGAAGACATCGGAATGAAATTCAATTTGGATAAATGTGCTAAAGCTACAGTTTTACGAGGATTTCAACAAACTTCCTCTATTAGTTTAGACCCTCTGTAACAATAAAAGATTTAGAACAAGGAGAAGCTTATAAGTACCTCTTAGGTGTAAATGAGAGTGAAGGAATTCACCATAAGAAAATGAAAGAAATAGTCCTAGTACTATAGAAGGGTACGACTGGTATTAAAAACTGAATTGAATTCTCAGAACAGAATTATGGCCATTAATAACCTAGTCATCCCAGTGGTCCAATATAGTTTCAACATCTTGAACTGGACTGTAAATGACATCAGTGGATTCTAAAACAATAAAGCCTAAGTATAAGATGCATCATCCAAAGGCTGATGTAGACCGTCTATACATACCCCGAAAAAGAAGGTGGAAGAGGTCTTATTCAGCTAGAATTAACAACAACTATTGGAGACTTACATGGAAACAACAAATGACTGGATGATAAAATTAGTGAAACAACATCCAATAATAAAAGAAGGCAGTAAATACAAACAACATTTACATTTAGTAGATTCTGTAAAATCAAAACAGAAGCCAAGAACCAACTATTGCAGCAAAAATATGAAAAAAAAGCCAAGGATAAAGCCCTTGAACAGATGAAACAACGCTGGCAAGACAAACCTCTGCATGGCCAATATCCAGAACGTGCAAATAAACCCAATGTTGATAAAGTTAAATCATGATGGTTACGACATCTGGAAAAGTCTGAAACTGAAGGTTTTATTCTTGCAAAGACCAGTCTTTCGAATTTTCATGTAAATATCATACATAATAATATATCCAAAATATTCTGTGACAAATATATATCTAATATATGTTCTATATATGAATATAAAAATCGTATATATATATATAAACACTTTGGAAAATATATATAAACACTATTATAGAAGATGTCACCATTCTATGGGATTATACCATCCACACAGACAAAAAAATTGAAGCAAATAGGCCGGACATCATTGTCATATACTAATTGATATATACAGCGGATTGTAACATAGCAACCAAGGAATTTGAAAACTATCAAAATACAAAGACCTAAATTGAAATATGTGAAAATTGAAAACAAGAATAATATATATATTATTATATAAAATGGAACAAAACAACACATTGAAAGAATCCCTGAAACCCCAGAAGAGACATACAGAAAATTGTCTTAAGACAGACACACACTAAGGAGAACTTTGTCTATGTAACGCTAGCAACTTCATCGGAGAAAAAAAAAAAAAAAAAAAATTAACATGAAATGGACAACACACCACGAACAAAAAATAAAAATCGGAATGAAAAATAATAATAATAATAAAATAATAATAATAATAATAATAATAATGGCTACAAGTGGAAAAATAAAAAGAAAAAAAGAAAATTAAAATGGGCGGATGAAGATGGCCAACAAAAGATAAGAGACGCGATAGAAGTTCAAAATAGTAAGGAAATTGACCAAAAAGCAGACTTGTTCTATTTTGCAGTTATCGACTGTTACACGAAGAGTGTACCCAATTTCTCCTGCGTATATCTGAACCAGGACCTTCTGTTTCTCTTTCTAAAATGAAAAAGAAGAAAACATTACAATATCAGAATCTATTACTCAATCTTTCCCACTTTAACATGTTATTTTTGGCCAGAAGTCTCAGATGGCCCAGCCCAACCAATCCAGAATGCCGGTGGGCTCCATCGTTCGAGAAAAGTGTACATTATCCACCTGTGCTCTTAATTGTCATTCGGACAACATAACTTAGGTGAAAGAGATTAGAATTACGACAGAGCTTGCTCGGGGTCAGACAGTTGGAAGATGTCATGAAATTCTTACGCATGCGCACAGACACATACATCGGAGTAGTTGTTTAAGTTTGCACGCCTACCGTGAAACTATGGTTAACAAGATAATCTAGCAAAAGTATCGTTGCTGCATTGATTTCTATCCTCGCTTTACGCCGCATACCATGAACTTTTAACTTCACCTTGACCAAAATTATATTTCGTAAATATCCAGCACTAAAATGATTGGTAAAATCGATAGGTCAGTGTTGCTAGAGATCTCTAATTTATGTGTTACATCTTATAAGCAGATCCGTAGTATCAAATGGCGAAAAGAATGACGTCTAGCATAAAGAAGCAAACGAATAGAAAATAAAGAATTGTAATAAAAGGCGTGTGAGACGAAGAGGAAAAAATAAGAAAAAAGATAAGGATAAAACAAAACAAAAAACAAAAAAGAAGAAATATTGAAGGGGAAAAAGAAGAACAAGTGATACTCAATACAGAGAATGGAAAGAAAGAAAGAAAGAAAGAAAGAAAGAAAGAAAGAAAGAAAGAAAGAAAGAAAGAAAGAGAGAGAGAACTGAAACATTATGAAATCATACAAAACAGGGAATTAAAAGGAAGAAAGAGAGAGAGAACTGAAGTAGGATGAAATCAGAAAATACAGGGAATTAAAAGAAATGC